ACAGTGTAAGTACACATTGGTACATAATATCTACAGCTGTAATATTTCTGTAACTACACACATGTAACAACCCTCCGAATGGTTTGTGTAAGTACAAATGTGTAACAGGACATATATAACTACATTGTGTATCAACAGTATGTATAAGAGTAATTGAAACCATTTGATCCAGGGGGTGGAGATGGGTAAGTTTAGGGGTGGAAATGGGATCCAGGGGGTGGAGATGGGTAGGTTTAGGGATATGTAAAGTGGGAGGGGTTGGATCTCAAGTTGGTGGAGGTGGTGCACAAGTGGAAGGAGTTGGATCTCAAGTTGGTGGAGTTGGTGCACCACTGTAATACCAGTGTACTTACATGGTAACTCCTCAGGAACTGTCCACTTTATATTAAGTGTAACATTCTGTAACACACCAACCACAATTTATATGTAAAGCCTAACTTACGGGCCACTGCTGTGTAACATCAGAGTAATTACATGGTAAATCCATAGGAATTGTTTACTTAATATAAAGTGTAACACTTTCTTTACCAAAAAGTGCTGTTAGTCCTGTTACACATTTGCACTTTCATTACCAAAGAGTGTTGTTACCAATGTCCTGTTACACATTTGTATTTACACATACCATTCAGTGCATGGGTTGTTACATATGTGTAGTTACACAAACATTACAGCTATAGATGCTATGTACCAATGTGTACTTACACTGTGGTTACATACTATATACACATCTAGTTACTATATAAGTGCACAAGATATTAGGGCCACAATATAAAGTGGGACCAAAATATTTTTAAAATGTATAGTGTTTACAATAAAGAGAAATGTGTCAGTCATTCTTTTTTAAAAACATATGGTTTGTCATATTTGGCTATGGATTTTAGTGTCTAAGCTACCCAGAAAAACTGCAGTCCATTTGTATAAACTAAGGGACGAATCAAAATTTGTGTCTGTGGCAATGAATACAGACGTGGCTGTTAATAAACATTAAAGGACTAATTCATCTTCATGTCATTCCACAACCATAAGACATTTATTCATCTTCAAAACACAAACTAAGATATTTTTTAATGAAACCTGAAAGATGGTGCTACATGACTCACAGCCTGTAAGAACGTTTTCATATTTAAAGGATTTGCCACTGATGATTCAAACGTGAGTTTTGAGCAGTGTAGAGTAGTGCTTGTTGTTTGTCATTTCTCCGATCACAAATGCAGACATGGTTTTATGTTTACGCAGCGCGATACACAACGCAATGCGTAAAAAAGTCAGTATAAGTCATTATAATCAGTAATTATGTCCCCACTGGATGCAACAAATGCCTCTTTTATAATGGGTTTTACTGGTTTTGTCTCGTCGCGCATCACAGGCGCTCATTGCACACACGGCATCACAGTATGGTGAGGGACATAACATTTCCGTCACACGCTTGAGGTATTCAGCCAATCACAACGCACTGGATTGCTGGCCAATCAGAGCACACCTCGCTTTTCAGACCGATGAGATTTGTAAAAATCGACGCGTTTCAGAAAGGCGGGGCATAGAGGAGAAACAATAATGTACAGTATGTGGAAAATAATGTGTTTTTTGAACCTTAAACCGCATAAATACATTTCATTACACCAAATGCACAAAATAATGTTCTTTTTAGCAATGTCATATGACCCCTTTATGGGATCTAAAATAAGGTCATACAGAATAAGGCATTAATATGTGCTTTATAAGTACTTATAAATAGCTAATATGCTAGTAATATGCGTGCTAATAAGCAATTAATTATTAGTGAGAATTGGTCGCTAAACGAAAATGTTTATGCTCTAGTGCAGCGCTTCTCAAAGTCCAGACTCCGGTCCGGATCCGGAGGAAATTCAATCCGGACCCGCCTCCATTTCATATTTCAAGAGCACTAATTATATTTCCTACTTTGATATATGCATATTAAACTTGTAAATCATTTGTTTAGTTTTTTTTTTATGTCTTTTTGGAGATGGTCCGAAATGAAAGCGAAGGCGAGATTGAATCTACTTTGATATATGCATATTAAACTTGTAAATCATTTGTTTCGTTTTTTTTTATGTCTTTTTGGAGATGGTCCGAAATGAAAGCGAAGGCGAGATTGAAACTTTTCCTTTATGACATCTGTTGTGACATCCAGTGAGCGTATGACGTTTGACATAATCGGGCGACATTTCACCGCTAATATTAGTAATAATTTTTTTTAATCACTTAGTTTTATTAAAAACAAGTTCCGGTCCGGACCTTTGACACTGATGAAAATTCAGATTTGGACCTTTAAATGTAGACTTTGAGAACCCCTGCTCTAGTGTTTCTAGTGATTGTACAGCATCAGCAGTTAAAATCACAGGCCATGTGAAATGGTGATGGACTTTCAGTCTGTTCAGTCACAAACACACACTACATTCTGTAACAGCTGGGATCAGATCGGAGACTCAGCAGTGCACTTCACGTCCAATAAAGACAGGAGAAGTGTGTTGGGTCTCAGCGTAACACACCGGCCATGACCTCCCAAACATTTGATATGGAGAAGTTAGACAGGGATAGTGTGTGTGTGTGTGTCTCTAGGGTGACAGCAGCAGGATGAGAGGCAGGAAGTGAGCAGAACTCCAGACATCTGGCACTGCCGTCTCCCCTGACACACACACACGCACACACACACTCTGATCTCTTCCGATCAAAGTCTGCCCTGCTTACTCTTCCACAACACACACATCCAAATTACATCCACACACACTTACATGTGTTCTCCTTACAGACTGAATCAAACCTTTAGTTTAGCCAACAGCTCCTCTGATGAAGGCATCACACTGTGATCTAAAACCAGTCTGTGTGTGTGTTGGCTCTCAGGGCTGTCCAGTCAGCAGTTCTGTTCTTTGCATATTCAAGGTGAGGTAATTTGACTTAAACAGCTTTAAACTGCGAGCCAGAGACATGCTGACAGATCTTTATCCTCCAGCACTGCATGAGTGTAAATACAGTGAGCGACAGACTGAACTGTGTGAAAAGTGCAACTAGAACTGGACAACAGTTTTAGTGAGCAATGTTATTTATAAATGTGACATTATTGACACTACTAGCTTTTAACACTAGTGTAAGCTACTGAACATAATTCAGCATATATCTCCAATCATTAAAGCCATAAATCTCCAAGTGGGAGGATCTTTGTGAATTAGGGTGGACCTCTATTCTGTCAATGTTGATTTTGGATGAAAGTTTTAAGGTTACAACAGAAAACCTGAAAAGATACATTTATGCTAAATTTTAATAAACTATAATACTCCCTAATTTATAGAACTCAATTGAAGTATGAGAGAAAGGTCCATTTAGAACGAACTGATTTACTAGAATTACTGATTTACTAGTCTTGTCACTGCACTAAATTTTTTATCAGTTGAACAAAACCTCACCGATTTTGTGATCCTCAATATCACTGCACAACAAATGAATAACTCAAATTAATTATGAATATAAATATAATATATTAATATAATATAAACTCATATTATACAACTTCTATAAGTATATGCAACCTTACCCGGATACATACAGTATACTCATGCATACTCTTTAGCAAATTTTGGCTATATGTAAAGCGCCTATAAGGCCTGAAGATACAGTATTGTATTATTAAAATATATTTGACTTGACTTGGCTTGAATAAACAGAATCTCTCCCAGGCAGCTCTCATTAATGGAATTCACAGCCCAGGGCAAAACACAAAGCAAACATATGTTCAGCAAATATGTGTGTTTTGGTCTCTGTGTCACTGTAACTGTGAACGTTTAATAGAGTCACTGGCGTGTGTGAGTCTTTGATGTGATCCGTTGTCTGGCCCGAAACTGAAAGCTCAGCCAAACCATAAGCTGATATGACAGGACATGAGAATCAGAGAGAGAGAAAAAAGCAGGTACTTCTGGTATTAAAGGAATAGTTTAGCCAGAAAATGAAGATTTTGTAATCATTTACTCACCCTTACGTGCTTCCAAACCTGTATGACTTTCTTTTTTTTTCGTGAAACGCGAAAGAATATGTTTAGCAAAATGTTTCTGCTGCTCATTCATGTCAAACTTCAAAACGTACCATAAAGTAGTTCATATGACTTGTGCCACATAATATAGCTTTGTGTGAGGAAGTGAAATTTTGGTTGTTATTCACTAAAAATCTTCTTTTCTGCAGCTTTCAAATCTCCTACACCCCTTTTGAAAAAGAAGTGCACCTAATTGTATTAAATTGCAGTGTAGTTCTTACAAGTATATATATATATATATATATATATATATATATATATATATATATATAAACACAATACTGGAAAATAATATTTATGAAATAAAAGGCTAATTAAGTGTACTTAAAAAGAGTACACTTTCATGACTGTTTCTTACACTTAAGTACACTGTTAAGAGTGCATTTTGTAATGTCTAATTAAAAGTTTTACTTTAAAGTACATTTTAAAACATTTTGTCATGCTTTAAAGAAGTGATGTTTTAACATACTAAAACACATGCAAAGTATTTGATTATAATTTTGCCTGTAGTATATTATTCAATATTCTATTTAAAATTAACATTTTAAATGTACTAAACTACACCTTTATCATTACAAATGTGTTATGGCAAATATATTTAAATACATCATAATAGAAATTAAATTATATTATATTTTAGTTTATCATAAATGCTTCAGTAGTACACTTTAACCATATTTCAAAGACAACAAAAGTAATAATGAAATTGCATATACATATTTACTTAAGTCCTACTTAAGCAGGTGAAAAAAACCACTCTAAAATGCGTTTTATGGGGGGGGGGGTTTAGAGGTTCTTCAAAAGTCAATTTGGAACAACAACAGGGAGAGTAAATGTTGGGTCATTTGTGTCATTGCTCTTTGTTCATTATTCATGTCTGCATGTGTGTGTGGAATCGGGACTATGGGAATGTTACAGCAGCAGACGCACACACGTGTAAATGTGTGAGTTGACTCACCCTTCTCCTGCAGCCCATCTCTCTCACTGCTGTCACTCTGTTTGTCTGTCTTCAGCACAGACACGTCACCGGAGCTGTCCTCTCTGCTGCCCGCGTCTGCGCTGACAGAGACAACCTGAAAAGAAATGCATACACACACACACACACCCACGTCAACAGAAAACACATCAGGAAACAAAGCAAACAAATATAAACAAGCGGATCATAATGGATAAAACAGCAGTGGGTCTTTTGTGTGAAATAATTGAAGTGATTTAATAAGAGCAGGCTGTTTTGGAGCATCCATTAACACACAGTGTTTGGCAACAGTAAGTGCTAATGCACTGGTACCAGAGCTCTCCCTCTCTTTCTCTCTCGTCACGCTCGCTTCATTGTAATGCAGGAAATAACGGAGGCCGTCCTCGCAGACTTCCACACACATTTAATTTTATCTTTGAATAAAAGAGCTATAGGAAAGAATTAATCTGCTTAACATTTCTAAGTACACCCTCCAAAGGAGAGGGCTGTTTTAATCTTACATATGCTCAGCAGAGTTACTGGCAAAAAACTGTACGTTTTCTTCATCTCATCCTTTCAACATCAAATGGCGAGCAGCAAAAATTGGATCAGACTTCAAAGCTCAGCGATGTGCTCCAAGTCACAGAGTGGCTCTACTATTTCACATATTGAATTCGAGTAGGATATCAAAGTCCTAGTAAAGAACCTCAGGTCTTTACTGGAAAAAAGGGGCTCCAACATCTGTAGAGAGAGCAGCGAAAAGACAAATCACCTCAGGGAGAAGTCAGCGTTTACTCTCTACCACGCTTTTCCAGCCTTTTGATTCACTCCTTCTCTCTCTACCTCCATGGGTTCCTCGCTCGCTCTCTCTCTCTCAGCGGAGAAGTGAATTCTTTACGAGGGAACTGTCTCTTTTGTCTCAAGGACTGTGCTGTTTGATCTGAGGGGTGCTCTGTGTAATATTCAGTGCAGTCGGGTGACAGTAGAGTTCATATTAACTTGAGCCGTATCAGACGTGCAATTAAAGGACTAGTTTGTTCAAAAATGAAAATGTTGTCCATGTTTACTCAGCTCTGTGTTGTTTCAAACCTGTATATTCGGAGGATGCTCCTGCTGCAATATTCCATAGCATAAAAGCATACAGTGACCAAGGGCAAAAGGACAGGAAGCACCATAAAAGCAGGTAAAACCTTTATAGCAGCCCGGAAAAGAGCAGCACGGCAGTTCTATTTTGTGTTTAAAATTATACATACAGGTGCATCTCAATAAATTAGAATGTCGTGGAAATAAACTAAACAAAGCGAAACAAAACTAAACAAAGCAAAGCAAAACAACACAAAAGAACAACAACAACAAAACAAAGCAACAAAAAACAAAAAACAAAGCAAAATGAAACAAAACATAGCAAAAAAGAAACAAATCAAATACAATGTTATTGTACATAATTACATTTTTTAATATTAAATACATTTTGTTTTTGTCAAATCAAAACCAAAATTAAAATGTTTATTTTTTAAATAAAGAGCTAATTATTGGTAGTTATCTGCATTTTGTTTCACATTAACTTGCATTCAACAACACTGATCACCGGCGTCTTCTGAACACTGCAACATTTCTGTCAGAAGCCAGATCTGCAGTAAGGTTAAAGACGATCATCTACTAGTGTTTATTCACAGAGTGCATGTGTGTGCGAGTGGATTGTCACTCAGGAGCTATGATTTAAGAAAGATGAATAAAATGCATGCACACACGCTACCACAACATCACTGGGACGTGCTGTAGGAGACCTACTGTATAGAACAAACAGATACCTAAACACACAATCATGCAAAAATACACCATGATAACATACAAAGGAAACAAACACAATGAACACACCCTCACTCACCCAGTCCATTGTTGACTCTGTTTGTAGTCTTTCCGGACTCTGTAGCCTCTGTATGCTGTAACAAACATTCACACAAACAATGAATAAAATAACATGAATCATAATTTACTAGTTTTATCATCAACAAGGAGAGAATCATAAATCTGATTGCTCAGAAATGTAATAGCACACCTATTGAGGAATCTGTAGGAAAAAAGAAGAAGATTAATACAGAGGGTGGGTTTGTCCAAATCACTAACACCAAGTTTGAGCAATGAAAACCCCATTAATAAAAAATGCCACAGATTAGTATGACTAATAGCGTATTTTGCTTTTTGGTTATATCGAATGTAATGTAAAAAGTTTCCTACTTGTATACATAGATTCGGATAAATTGTTTCCTTTGATCAGACACACTAAGTGAATGTTTAGGATAAAAATACACAATGAGTTCTGAGTGAGCAATTAGTACTTTATCACTCATACAAATGAGTGTAAACCTCAGAACACATGAAAGCAGCAGCGCTACTCTAAAATGCTAAAGCAGTCATTTATTCCACTTTCAACGCCCAATTAAAACTCACAAAACTTCAGGCTTTAATCAGAGCAGAGCAGATCAGGGTGTGAACACAGGCCTGTAAACTCAAACACACAAACCACCGGAAACAGAGTGAGAGTGTATATAGTTTGTCGTGTTTTGGAGGGTGTTCAGATGTATACGCAGCCAGGGGTGCGTTTTCTGTACACACTGTAACTTGCTGCTTAACCACCATAGTACTGTGCATCACTGTAGAAACTAACTAGCCAGTCATGACTGTTTCCCGAAAGCATAGTAACATGGATGCACTTCTGTCATTTGAACCACATTGATTCAACAATACAAGACTGTCATTAATGACGTCACATGCAGGTGCTGGAATAATAATTTGAGATCACAATTAATGTTATATATTTACAGCTAATTTACACGGCAGAAAGCCGTTGATATTTTACATGCAGTATGTAATTGGTGTACACTTTATTCCCATGTACATGTCATCAGCAGCTTTCTCCACAACATAATTTCTCTGAGATGCTGCTCTGTTGAACATGCCAGCTGAGGAGCACTTCACTACTTGTGTTCACTACTCGTCGTTTTGGATTATTTGATGTTTGATTGATGCTTTCCTTATGTCACACTCCAAGACTCCTTTACACATTTACACATCAGCACATTCTTCAAAAACACTGCTGATTGTTCACACACACATATTTAAATGGCATGGAAGATACAGAATGTGCTGCATGATGGCTTGCTTACTGCACCCTAGACCGTGATCTATGTCAGTCCACATGTCATACTAACAAGAAACTATGCTCCCAACCACACAACTTCATGATGCTGCTTGTGAATGTTTGTTGGATTTATGGTTTTGGGAATTGTTAAACTGTGTTGGTAAAGACAGAACTTGCATACACAGTAAGCTAACAGTACTTTTGGGAAACACACCCCAGTTATATTTAATGCATAAAAGCCTTGTGTGAACATGAATAATTTTAACAACAGTTATACTGCATTATAATACTTACCTATCTGTGGTCATAGCTTTTAAGAGTATGGTGGTTTATAACACAATAATTCCCACAGTTATAATTCTCATATCTTGACATTTTTTTAAGACCTGCACAGTATCTTTCTACATTTTATTAGTGTTCTTTTAGTGTAAAGTGGCAAATACAAAGTCTTATTGTAAAGGTCCAAAAGGCTTTATAATGTGGTAATTATATTTACAAGTACTTTGTAATATTTACATGTGTTTTTTAAACAGCCGTAAGATATCATGAATGTGTTATATGACACATTTGCTTTGAACATGTTTAGTGTAATATCAATAAACCATATTGGGTCCCAATTTATATTCGGCGGCTTTAAATACTATTAACTTAATAATAAAAAGAATGAATTGTTAGGTATAATGCACCTGTTGTGTTCATGTTGATTTGCTAAACACTTGCTGCTATTGAGGTGGGATACGGTTAGGGACAGGTTTGGTGGTCTGGTTAGGTTTAAGGGATAGAGGTAGGGTCAACAGTGTAATTATAGATGCAACTACAGAAATTAATTACAGATGTAATTGCAGGACAGTATTTTCAAATATAAGTACAATGTAAAAGCATGTCTGCACATAATAAATGCATTGTATTGAATGATTAATTTAAATGTAAGTACATTGTAGTTAAGGACACTTAATATAAAGTGGGTCCCTATATTGCATTGTCTCAGATTTAAACGGGTTACCAGTGAACTTAAATTAGCTCACATTGAAATTAATATTAGCCTCACTGGAAATACTATTACGCATCTCCTGAATGAGGCAGAAACGAGTGATCTCGTATGTATGCATATACATATGAGAAACAATGCGATCATCAACAACAAACAGCATATAAATGAAAACCGTCTAATGTTAACGAGTGAAATGGCGATCCCGGAAGTGCCAAAGGACTGTGAAGCTTTAGGGAGTTTGTAATTGGAAGCAATCTACTACATATTTTCTTTGATCATCCTACTGAATATGATCCAGATGTAGTATTTGATAAAAACGTGATTTTCTCAGCTTTTTGTTTAATAAAACGTACCTACATTAATGTGTTGATAAAAAAAGAATGCTTGACTGATTTTCTTTTTTGTTTAAAGGTAGAGGCTCTGTTCTTTATTTTGATGTATTGCATGTTCAGATATTCATAAAACAAAATATTCTGGGGGCCATGAAATTTTAGTGAAAATCATCAAAAATGACGGCGGTGGCTGGCAACTTTTTTTCAAAAACGCTGGTGGGGAAAGAGTTAATATAGTTTCCGTTTACTAAAATACAGTTTGAGTTGCAGAAGATGAACCTCAGGACAGAATGTTTACCAACATTTCCTAAAGATATCCTTTGGATACAGAATACATTTCCCCCCTAAAGCAGCTGTTAAATTTGCATACTGTGTTTGGCTCACTGTGCTCGGCATATTCTCAGTGTATGGATCTCAAATGTTTGAAAGACGAGTGTTTATTTTAGAAATGCTAATGCGGCCCACCTCAAAGTGGATACTCACACCTCTACACAGCTCTGAACATGTGGCCGAACACTGCGCCACCTGCACCAGCGGACACACTGCGAGCAAAGAGTGAGAGAGAGATGTCTGTCAAAAAGGGGAACTGAAGTACTCCAGAAGAGGAGAGGAGAACAATAGCATCACTCCTCCCTCTCCTTCCTCCCCCCTGGACCCCCGGACCCCTGCCTCCGCCCCTCTCTCCTCATGCCCTCAGAAGACGAGCGTGGCGATGGAAACGTGCCCTGAGAAGGTTAATATGCCCGCTTTGATCTCTGTCAGGCCACACCGAGTAAGAATTCATTTACATTTCTGATGAAAAGGGTGACAGTATAAAAAGCCATCTTGTTTCATGGATACAGAATACATTTCCCCCCTAAAGCAGCTGTTCAATTTGCATACTGTGTTTGGCTCACTGTGCTCGGCATATTCTCAGTGTATGGATCTCAAATGTTTGAAAGACGAGTGTTTATTTTAGAAATGCTAATGCGGCCCACCTCAAAGTGGATACTCACACCTCTACACATCTCTGAACATGTGGCCGAACACCGCGCCACCTGCACCAGCGGACACACTGCGAGCAAAGAGTGAGAGAGAGATGTCTGTCAAAAAGGGGAACTGAAGTACACCAGAAGAGGAGAGGAGAACAATAGCATCACTCCTCCCTCTCCTTCCTCCCCCCGGACCCCCGGACCCCTGCCTCCGCCCCTCTCTCCTCATGCCCTCAGAAGACGAGCGTGGCGATGGAAACGCGCCCTGAGAAGGTTAATATGCCCGCTTTGATCTCTGTCAGGCCACACCGAGTAAGAATTCATTTACATTTCTGATGAAAAGGGTGACAGTATAAAAAGCCATCTTGTTTCTGGTATGTGAGAGTCTGTAATGGGCCGGGAATGTGAGAGAGGAGGTGGCAGGGAAACCCCAGCACCCCCCATCCCTCTCATCCCTCTCTCTATCGCACTCTCGCTCTCTCTTCACTCCTCTGCCGCCTGCTCTGGGAAACAGATGAAAGCAAAGAGAGAAGCTCAAGAAACATGGGGACCAAATGCTGTGACCCAAACTTGCAAAAGAGACACTGGCTTCACACATGATTAATTTAGCAGCACTGTTTCATGGGATTGTTTGTTGAGATCAAAAAAGGCACTTTGTGAAAATGCAGAAGTTCATGATTGGAAGAAACAAAATGCAAGAGATTTGAAAAGAAAGAAAGAAAGAAAGAGCTGTCTTAGCTCTTGGCTCATACATTTTCACTACTGCTACTACTTAATTTTCTGAACACTCCAGTCATCTTGATAATTACACTACCATTCAAAACTTTGGGGTCTAAGTTTAAAAAATATATATTTTTTATGTTTTTGAAAGAATATCCTATTCTCACCAAGGCTGTATTAAAACTACAATAAAAACAGTAATATAGTGAAATATTATTACAGTTCAAAATGACCAAATCCTATTTGAATATATTTTAAAATGTAATTTATTCTTGTGATGGCAAAGCTGGATTTCCAGCATCATTGCTCCAAACTTCACAAAAAAACATTTCCTATTATTATCAATGTTGAAAACAGTTGTGCTGTTTAATATTTTTGTGGAAACCGTGATACATGTTTCTTCATGAATAGAAAGTTCAAAAGAACAGCATTTATTTGAATCAAATATTTTGTCCCATTTTAAATGTTCACTGTCACTCGATCAATTTAATGCACTCTTGCTAAATAAACATATTATTTTCTTTTTAAAAAATCTAACAGACCCAAACTTTTGTTATATTTTGTATAGCATTACATATAAATAATATGAATATTAGAATATTCTTTTGAGTAAAAACACAATCATTTATTTTATATTGTGTTGTTCTAGTTTGATTTTCATAATTTTTTATTTTACTTTACTTTGCACTTTTTCCATGAACTGGATGGTGACATCACTGACTCATCAATTAACTGACTTGAACTGAAAAATGACTCTTTGTTATTGTCCTCTTGCATTATTGACAAACTATTTTCCTGTTTAACACTGTAAAGCTGCTTTGACACAATCTGTATTGTATAAAGCGCTATACAAATAAAGGTGACTTGACTTGACTTCACAGCTCAGATGCTTTACAAGTGAGTGTTGTTTGTCATGCCAATAAATCACACTACACTGAAAATCAGAGAAAAATAAAGAAAATTAAAGTAAAGAGTAGAATTTCTTCTGGGAATATTTCCACAATATAGCGACATTAGTGTTATTTGAGTTGCACAGAATGCTCAGAGATACGTACTTGACTGGATTCGTACAGCAGCCTGCTCACGCTCTCTCTTTATCTGCTTCAGATTCTGACGGGCCACATAACCCCTCCAGGCTACACCGAGACACAAAGAAAGACATGAGGGGATTAAAACACGGAATACTAGTTTATAGTGGCAAACATTTTCTAGTATTCATCACAGCAGTGTAATACAAAACGGAGATCAACAATACGGTTTTTTTTTTCTCAAAAAGCTCAACCAGTACTTACAACATTCTCAATGGATAAACCGTCACAAATATGATACATTGATAATTTTTGGGGTCAGTAAAATTCTAATTTAAAATAAATTAATAATTTAATTCAGCATTAAACTGATCAAAAGTGACAGTAAATATATGTTTTAAAGATTTCCATTACAAATAAATGCTGTTCTTTAAACTTTCTATTCATTAAAGAATCCTGAAAAAATGCATCACTGTCTCCACAAAAATATTAAGCAGCACAAACGATTTCAACATTAGAATTGTTTCTTGAGCAGCAAATCAGCATTAGAATGATTTCTGAAGGATCATGTGACACTGAAGACTGGAGTAATGATGCTGAAAATTCAGCTTTGATCACAGGAATAAATTATATTTTAAAACATATTACAATAGAAAACAGTTATTTTAAATTCAAATAATATTTTACAATTTTACATAAGAGCTCTTTCAAAAACATAAAAAGCTTTACCAACCCCAAACTTATAAACAATAGTGTATGCAAAGCAAGTTATTAATTTAGTTGTAAAATGCCATACAGTGCAGCCCATTTTTCTTTAGAATTTTCCATCCGTTCTAACCATGTTTTGTCCTTGAAATTTCAACAAATTTCCTCCTTCATATTAGACAGCTATAGAACATTAATTTTAGTTGCCAAAATAAATCATCACACATGATTAACAAACGTAAAATGCAGTGACCCTCACAAACGAGCCTCAGACCATCCATATATCCTTACTGTTGAGCCCTGTACATGCATCTGTTATCAGAGTCATTTGGTAATGCGTTTGGGTTACAAGAACCTGACTGTATAATAATCGCCCCGTTGTTGCGTTTCTCTCTCTCTCTCCGATATCGCCGAGCTCCCAGCCAGCCTTTGGTGTAGGCCTGCATCAACACCACCCGCGCGATCACCTCCCGCAACATCAGATTGAGCTGCTCCACGTGATAGTACTTCAGAAATACCTGCAAAGACACATACAGTCACAGATGCAGGGAAGCATGCTCAGACCTTACAATAAAAACACCACCTTCATGTGTCTGTCGGGCACACAAAATAATCAAGGGGTTCAGGTTGAAAAAGGACTCTTTGAACATTTTCTTTTTTTATTCCAGAGTTGCAGATGCCAACCATCTGGTCAATTAGATCCACAGATAACTACCTTAACTTCTCAGACAGACAGAAGTGAGAGTGAGCGATTGTGAAAGAATGTGAGGAAAGAAACCATGACCTTGGCTTATAAATACTTTTTCTGGAAGAAGTTTGAAAAAGGACTCTTTGAACATTTTCTTTTTTTATTCCAGAGTTGCAGATGCCAACCATCTGGTCAATTAGATCCACTACCTTAACTTCTCAGACAGACAGAAGTGAGAGTGAGCGATTGTGAAAGAATGTGAGGAAAGAAACCATGACCTTGGCTTATAAATACTTTTTCTGGAAGCATTGGTTTGACAGAAAATGCACTAATAGACAAAGCTAAAATTGTTCTCTGTGCTATGAAAGGCAAATTCATAATAAATTATGTATATCTATAGCAGACATCCCAATTAACCATCTCCGAGACTCAAAGTCACACGTGTAGAGCTTGTTTAGTTAGTTTGGTCAATGTCTAGAGCTCTTCCTGACTGATCCACAGCTCTATGCATTTTCTATCAGACATTTTAATGGCTGTTAGGAGCACAATAATGAAAGCCTATGATATAATTAGAATGTCAGTCAGAGTAATATGAATCTAATATTGAGCATGACACAACACATCACATAACCAGCTCCAGATAAATGTATTATCTGATATAGTAAACTTGCTCAACAGCTCACCTGGTGCAGAACTGCACTTGAGATGCAGGGTGGCTTGTAGAAACAAGCTGGGTTTAGTTTAGCGTAGGTGGCTATTTTCAAACATGACAGAGCATCAACCTTTTAGAACCACTCACCGGACAGCGGACTCTTCATTTCCGCGGTATGTACAACAAACAAAATCAAATGTTGAAAGATTTATGTTCATCAGTTTTGGATAAAACATGCACCACAGACTGGACATTTCACTTTGAAAGTGTCACAAAATTTTGCAGATATGCCACTACATGTACATTATTTCCCAATAAACCTGTGTTGCTGATTGCTGCCAAAAGTGCTTTAATGAAGTAGTGATAATTCAGTTTTTTTCTTTAGCAATGTTAACACAAATCTGGTTTTGGCTTTGTCATTAAACAAAATGAAGGGGTCTGAATACTTTTTGAAGGCACTGTATATTTGGTTTCGACAGCCCACCATTAAATCCCTATGGCCCTATGGCCAGTCCATCCCTGCTGCTACTAAAACAAATGTTGCTATTTATTGTTTGTTTTATATATGCTTGTGTGATTTAATAACATGTATTGCTTCTCTGAACCCTTTTCTTAGTTTTTCAGTATGTCCACTGCTCCTAGAACAGGCTCGTTCCTGTATTTAATAAATGTGTTGGCAATATTGTAAAAAATAGGTATTTTCCTGTAAAAAAATAAAATAAAAAAAATATATATAAATTGTTGTTAATTAACTCATTTGTTCCTTGTTTGCTTTGTGTACTTAAGCCTTCTGTTCTCCCTCAGTATTTGTTGGCTCTCGTTAGCAATTGTGTTTGGTAGCATTTGTTCCTGTTCTCCAGTTAGTTTGATATTAAACAGGTGTTCCTGAACTATTCTTCTTTGTTGTACAAGTTATTATACTACCATACTGTAACAGAAGAACTGACAACAAACAGTAATATTATTAGCAGCGTTTTCCCCTCTTTTGTTTCTTTTTAATCTCTTTTTTTTCCCCATGGACCTTCCCACAGTCCAGCTTCTCCGCATGGAGACCATCCACTGGAAGACCACACACGGGACTTCATCCATCTGACCTTCCTTATGCACTACCCTGATCGCTCGCTATGTGTTTTTTACCATACCAGCCTGACCGAGCAATTGAATGCACGCATTCCAGCGGACGGTCCAAGGAGGATTTCGCTGCTTTCATGGAGTGGGTGCTGGTGAACAACAGCTCGCCTTTCACCATCGGCCCCGTGGATAATGACTTCGCAACCAGCCCCACTCCATCACTGTCAGAGACCAGCCATCCACCACCACCGAACGACACGATGGTGTTGTTGCATGTGCCCACTGCAGACCATGGAAAACGGCCTTCTGCGATTGATGACCCTGAACCAAGGAATAGGTTGGAGAGAGTCATCGCCCTGGAGCCTGCTTCATATCATGCGTCTGACCAGGTGTGAGAGCCGGCAACACCGCAGATAACCAAGGGAGTGTTAGTGGAGATCGACGGCTTAGATGAAATCCCAGCCCACACTCCCACCACAGTGAGTGAGTTGAGCCTGGCATGTGGAGCTTATTATGAGGAACTTAAGGACATTTTTGAGGAGGATCTTATAGACTGGTTTAAAGAGGTTATTCCCAGTTCTCCTGAATCTCCAGTGTTCTCTGAATCTCCTGCGTCTTCGTTGATTCCGTCCAGCCCAGAATCTCCTATGTCCCTGCTGGTTCCGCCCAGCTCCTGTTCTCCTGTGTTCCCTCCCAGCCTCCCTCTCCCACTTCCTCAATCAGCCAGTTCCTCAGCCCCGCCTCCACTGCTGTCCTTCAGCCCCTCTGCATCTCCCACGTGCTGTAAGGCCACCAGCTCCGTCCAGCACAGAGGACCCCCTGTCTCTGCTTCCAGCGTCTGTGACCATCGCTCCACCTCGGCCTGTCGACACTGCGGCTCTGCCTTGGCTCCTCCCTCCCTTGGCTCCACCAGAAAACATCAGCCATACATCTTCTCCAGGCTCCCTTGTCTCTCCAGCCATGCCTTTATCAGACGTCGACCTGTCTGCGCCTTCAGCTCCATTTGACTCCTCCTTCGTCCTCGGTTCCACCGGCTCAGCCTCTGTCCTCTGGTCATCTGGCTCTACCTTGGACACTCGTCACCGCGGCTGCACCTTGGCCTCCAGTACCACTGGCATTGCTTGGGCTCATTGGCACATCAGCTCCCCCTGGGTCCCCTTCAATGGAAGCTTCTTCTCCGTTGGTCACAACCAGGGTGTCGGCTACCATCAGGTTGTCTCCACCATGGCTCCTCCTGTCTTTGACTCTGCCCTGGGGTCTCGTCCTGGCTGGACTCTGTCATTGCATCTGGCTCCTCCTGCTCCTAGCTCCCCACTGGCTCCTCCCACTCCACCTTAGACTGCTTTAGAGACTTTGGACTATTATTTTTCTGTTGCTTTGCGCCCTCCTCCAGAGCCCCAGCCCTCCCTCCTCAGCTATTCTATTTATACGGCATGAGGACACACCTTCCTGGGAAGGGGCGAACTGTTACATGTATGATCTGTGTTTCCTCCTTTGTTGTGTTTTGGTTTTGCCATGACCTAGTTTTCCTGAGTTGTCTTTTACTTAATTATTTTCAGCTGTGTCTTGTTGATGAACTCATTAGTTTCTTCTTTGCTTTGTGTACTTAAACCTTCAGTTCTCCATCAGTATTTGTTGGTTATTGTTTGCAATTGTGTTTGTTAGCATTTGTTCCTGTTCTCCAGTGAGTTTGATATTAAACAAGTGATCCTGAACTATTCTTCTTAGTCGTGTGAGTTATTGTATTACCATACGTAACAGTACCATTGTACAGTGGTAATAACAGATGGTAAAATTATGGTACTGAATAGTCACTACATTCATGTACCGAGGCATTTATATGATTCTTCAAAGTAAACTAAGCTATTCTACCATGGTATATGCCCAAAAAGCCTTGGTATTTTAATGCAGTACAGGGTGAAATTTCCTGGTAGTATCATAGTACTTTTTGTTGCTTTGCAATACAGCATACTAAATTGAAGAACACTGATGGAGAGAGAGAGAGAGAGAGAGAGAAAAGGATGAAAATAAAATAAAAAAAACATACTTTGAAAGAATGATGATAACTTTACCTTGGTCTTGCCCAGGACCCAGTTGTCCAGTTTGGCTCTCTGCAGTATAATAATGGCGTTCTCTCTGCTGCCCTCTGGCATCTGATGGGCACGAAAGGCCAGATAGTAATACCTGCAAGAAAATCAAAATGACCAGACTCTCATTACACCAGTCAAAATTATAAATGTACAGTGCTGAGGTTTCTTCTCAAGCTCAAACATCCATTTAACTTGACTGATCATATTGTGTAAAAAAAAATTGTTTGGAGAAAATGTATGTTTGTGTTAACCACAGACCATATTTCATGCATTTAACCATTTAAACCCATTCAAAAAATGGAACTAGAAGTGTTAAAATGCTAACTCATTTCTGTGTTTTGGCCGACAAAAATATGGAATCCCTGCAGCACTCTCTCTATAACTTTCTATATATAGCAATATGACACAATTCACAAAAAACTCATTATTTTTGTAATTCCGTTTGGTGCCACCAGTGAAGCAAAAATTACACACTTAACACAGAAGTGTGTAATTTTGCACAGAACAAGATAAAAGTCTATGGCAAGACTATCTCTCTATAATGCTCTAGATATTCCAATGATAACATCTTTCTGCTACAAAAACCTTTGACGGTCAAAACAGAAAGGTAAAGCGTCACCTGATTCTCTGATCAATCACTAGATATGGGGCCATTGTTGCCTTGTTGTTATTGTCTGGCGGCCATCAGTTTTACTTCTGCATATACCTGCCTATAAATAAACTGGTCTGAATCTCACAAATGAGTCTCATAGAAACATCTGAAGCTTGCGGTTGATCTCAAATATTTACTCACTCTGAAGAGGAGGATATCAGCCATTGTGTTTAAGAAAGAATACTGCCTTTGATTCCACTTGAACCGTGGTCTTTCATAATTATGCTCCTGATAGCTGTTATGTCTCTGGTAGAAAATACAAAGAGCTCTCCTTCACAACATCAGAGAAGGTTTCCAAAAAGATCTGTCTGAATCCACTTCTTCATACTGAAACTGGTTTTACGGAGCTGGTGTGTCAGTGTGGATCAGACAGGAAGAGCTAAAGACGTTGTCCGACTAAGGAAACGCAAACAGAACGGTCACAGTGTTTTATGCAAACTGGTCGGGGAAATCTAGGGAAAATACGGATAATCAGGACACTTCTGTGATCAAAAGAATGAGGGGGAAAAAATCCGGCAAGAGTCTTGCGTTTGAGCGGCCCCTCTGAGCACAGAGAAATTGTCTGGGATGTTTATGTAAAAGAGATGACCTACATGTCCACCATCTGACGGCCCAGGAGAGAAAGAGATGGATGGGTTGAAAGAAAACGCAGGAAAGAGAAAAGTTTATGGGAAATTAAGTGTGATTCCCAAAGCCTCGGACAAGTAAATTTGGACCATGAATTTCCATGGCGTTGAGAAACTTTCAGCGGATTCACTCCACCCCTTCAAAGTACCACTTCAGCATTAATTACTCAGCCAGAGTCTAATTTAGCATCACTTGTATTCTCAGAGACTTAATGACCTATTATTGATGAGATTATGGTCTTCGTTCAGAACTGCCAAAATATATAGATAATAAACCTGCAACGTGAGTTTCCCAGGAGCTTTAGGGAGCACTAGAGGAGGTGGGTCTATTCAATATGGGTTCATGGAGTGCTCTCTAAGCTTTGATCTCTCTAACTGTCTGTCTGTCTGTCTTTTTTTCCTTCTTTTCATGACGCCCAAGAGCTTCAGTTAATTAAATCTAATAAAATTCCTGTAGTCCAACAGGAACGCCCAGAATAATATCATTTTGACTGCATAACTGATGAAGTCTGGACTTGGAGTATGAATGTGTGTGCGTGTGTGTGTGTGTGTGTGTGTGTTTTGCAGGATAGCATAATCATTATGACCACCTTTATTAACACAACCTCTGTAAAATAGAGCAGGAATTCCAGACAATAAAGAAGCTAAAACTACATTTATATGTTCTGATAATAATGCTGCCATAATGCTTTGGTGTTCTGGATGGCTGCTTAGTTTCTTATTGACAGAATCCCAAATCTTTAATATTATGAACTAGATATAGCTTGAGTCTCTCCTTCAATGTAAGTCCATAAGCCTAATCAATTAACAGCACACAAGAATTGTATACCATATTTCAGGGTTTAAGGTTTACAGTAGTTCACCCAAACATGACAATTCTGTCATAATTTACTCACCCTCATGTTGTTCCATTAGACTTATGGGAAACACAAAGGAAGATATTTTTAATATCCTCTCATCACTGTTGTCTATCCTTTGACTCAACCAAAAATTTCAAGCTTCAAAAAGTTCATAAAGATGTCTTAAAAATACTCCAAATGAATCGAGCAGTTTAATCCAAGTCTTCACTTTATATGATGAACAGTTTTAAGCTATTAAAGTTATTTATTCACATGCAAACATTGATCAATGCACATGCATAGAGCTAATCAAATATGGTAAACCATGCTTGCTTGACATAACATAACCACAATTATAGAATATTACAATTATCTTAATTTGTGTTCCAAAGATGAACAAAAGCCTTCTTGCTTTGAAAGAACATTTTTGGGTGAACTAACCCTTTAAATGTTTGTTTTGATTCCTAACCCTAAATATGAACAACAGCAATCAACAAGTGGTAACACTTTAGTTTAGGAACCAGTTCTTACTATTAACTAGTTGGTTTCTAACATGCATATTACTAGGATATTGGCTGTTTATTGGTACTTATAAAGCACATATTAATGCCTTATTCTGCAAGACCATATTTTAATCCTAACCATATCGAAACTTAACAACTACCTTCCTAACTATTAATAAGCAGCAAAAGTCATAGTTAATAATTAGTTAATAGTGAGAATTGGACCCCAATAAAGTGTGACCAATTAAATCAACTCAATGAACCACAAAATGAAAACATTTCCCATTTTAACTAGACGTTACAACTTCAGGAATCAGCTTGTGAAGTGCATCAAATATTTAACTCAACAATATTCTCCCTGACTTGCTGTGAATTGTCAATCTTCTCTCAGGATGTCGTGTTCACTGAGTCATTCCTAATCTCTCTCTTCCCGCTCTCATTAGCAGCTTGTGTTTTGTGTGATCTGCGTTGTTTCTCAGGCCCTGCGGGACAAGCGCAACACTCATTCTACCAGTGTTATGTTACACTGTGGCTGTTTTCTACCTGTTAACAAACTCCTCGATGAGTATGCGGTGAGAATAGCCCTGCCGGCGGATGTTGACGGTCTCTAGGATTCCGGTGTAACGCAGCTGAACCATCACGCGCTCCTTATTGAAGAGCAGAGCCTGCCGGTCATCATTTGGTTTGATACAGCGGACGAAATGAGGAGTTCCCACCACCATCTTAGACAGCAGGTCCATGAGAGAGTACTGAAATAGACACACACACACACCCACACAAACAGAACCGTCATGTACCTAATTTTCGAAGGAACTAACTTTGCCCTGTGTGTGAAAGGTGTTGACAGTTGACAGTATAGATTTTGTACTTGTTGCAATGAGGAAGTAAAACTTCTGGTAATCAGCCTAGCAGACACACTTAATTAAAAAATGCTGACAAATCATCTGATTAAGCACGCAGGCCAAGATATACATTTTTACTATACAGAGCAACACAATACAAGACTAATGATGTGATGTGCTGAGAACTCACCCTGAAATAAGATGCCACTGTCTGTCTCCTCATGTTAGTGGTTTCCTCTGGGTGACGCATCATTTCCATGGTGTCCACCTAAACACACACATAAACACACTTACTGTAGCTTAGCCTACATGCAGAAAATATGCTAATCACCAATACACACATATGTACACAACATACAAATGTGACATGACTTGATGATATTTTGGAACACTTTCCAATATGGTCCCATTAGTTAAAATTAGTTAATGCATTAACAAACAATATTTTCAATCTTTGTTAATGCTAGGTAATGAAATACAAATGTTTATTGTTATTTTATGTAAATGTTTAAATTAAATGCTTTTCAAGTATGTTTTATTGTTTGTGCAAGTTAGCTGATGTAGTGACTAATGTTAATAAATGGAATTATTGTAATGGAACTGTTTTTGCATGAATCTACTACTATATAACACTATTAATAGGGAAGATGACAATGATCATTTCATATTTATGTAAAGACACAAAACAAGCACTTTAAAACATCACAATCCAAGCAAAGATCCCTGAGCATGATGGGTTTAATACTGCAGAGACGTGTTTTCATAATGAACTTCAGGCTTCCAACTGTTCTTAACAAGGACAAGATATGATGTGTATAACAGCCATCGCTACAACAGACCTCATGAATTTATCAAGGTGATACATAATTTAGAGCAGGTCTATACCAGCAAAGTGTGTCTTCATATTCTATTTCATCTGCGCGTGGAGAGGCAGGTGTGTGTGATCTTTATGAGGAACTGAAGGGTTGGTCATGCACCCTGACTGAGAGACAATCGCACTAACCCAGTGTTTTAATAAGACATCTGTCCCATTTCTGCTTACAAGCAGAACTCTGTAAATTGTCTCATCTGTGACTGAAGCAGTTTAAAAGTATCTGCAATATTAACTTGAACTAATTAATTGGGTTCTGTGCTCTGGTGTATAATTATATTTCTCTGATACAGCAGGTAGTCTGCAGGACTGTTTTAATCTTACACACAGAACAGAGGAAAGGGATAAATAATTATCCAGGGTTCCCGTTCAGGAACTCAAGCTGCATCAAAACGCTATGGGAATGCCTTCAGCGTGACCACACTCTGAATCACGTGTGTAATCAGTCCAATGGATGGGCGAGACCAGGAAGCTATAAAAGCATGTGCCGTGGAACCGGCGTCAGCGTTCTGTCATTCAGCAAGCGCTCTGTGTGTGTGCCAGTCAAAAATCTGTTGTGAGTCTTATTTAGTGTTGTTTGTCCCACTGATAAGCTCCAAAATGTCTCCCTGAAGGCTCCGGCATTGCCCTCCAAGCTGCTGCGTACATCGTCAGCACTGGTGGGCAAGGGGTACACGGCAGCAGGTCAGGCTGGTGTGTGTCTGCACACGATGACCGTGTTACAGGCGTACCAAGCCGACCTGCTTAAAGAGCTGGATGAGGGCGAGGAGGTTAAGTCTAAGGATATCACCAAGCTCAGACGAACCACTGTTCTGTCTCTCCATGCCACCGCGCCATTGGTCGGTTTATGGTAGCACTGGTGGTAGCGGAGGCACCTAGCTCTGGGGTCTGGTCTGCCAACCCTGCCACCCACAGTGCTTCAGGGCGCAGCGGTCTCCCACGAGCGCTTCTCTCAGTCACCGCCTGGAAACATAGCGGTACTAAGAGGCTCGCTACCTCTATTGAGGTCTCTAGAGCAGTTAGTTCAGCCATCCCCTCCCGGTTTGCCACATCAGGGCACCGAGCTAGCCGCTCTGATAACACCAGAGGTCAGTCTCGAGAGACTGATTCCCTTAGTAGACTATTTGGCAATGTGGAAACTACTGCCAAATTTGTCTCGATGGGTCCTGCACACTGAAGAGAGAAGCTACAGAATCCAGTTTGGTTGATTCCCACTCTGGTGGGTCCCGAGCAGGCTCTGGTAATGGAACAAGAAGTGAACACTCTCTTGAGGAAGGAGGCTATCGAGGTGGTCCCTCCTCACAAAAGGGAGTCCGGGTTCTACAGCTGGTACTTCATTGTTCCGAAGAAGGATGGAGGGTTGCGTCCCATTTTAGATCTGCGTCAGTTGAACCACTCAGTCATGCTACTGAAGTTCAGGATCCTCACTATCAAGCAAGTCGTGTCTCAGATCAGGTCCGAGGACTGGTTTGTCACGATTGATCTAAAAGATGCATACTTCCACATCTCCATCCTTCCCCAGCACAGGAAGTTCCTGAGGTTTGCTTTTGGGGGCAAAGCGTACCGATACCGGGTTCTTCCTTTTGGCCTTGCACTCTCACCCCGCACTTTCACGAAGTGTGTAGATGTAGCCCTGGCTCCGTTGCGACTCCAGGGCATCCGCATACTAAACTATATCGACGATTGGTTGATTTTAGCTCAGTCAGAGCAGATGGTGGTTCGACATCGAGATGTCGTTCTTGCCCAGACTAAATGGCAAGAAAAGTGTGCTTTCTCCATTACAGAGGACCACTTATCTGGGCATGGTGTGGGATTCGACCACAATGCAGGCACGTTTGTCTCCTGCTCGGATCCCTTTTGGCCTGCTGTACATGAGACCCCTACAGTGGTGGCTCAAGACCAAGGGGTTCTCCCAGAGGGGAAGCCCGCTCCGCATGCTCAAGGTCACGTGGCAATGCCTATGTGCCTTAGACATGAACCAAGGTTTCCTCCACTTGTCTCTGGACCCGGTGCTGGGAGCTCCTTGTCGCCGCTTAACGCTAGCGACAGACACGTCCCTCACCGGGGAGCGGTAATGAGTGGCCGCTTGGCCCGAGGTCTGTGGAGTGGTCACCTTCTCACATGGCACATCAACTGCCTGGAGATGCTGGCCGTGTTTCTAGCTTTGAAACACTTCCTCCCGGACCTAAGAGATCGCCATGTGTTGGTGCATACCGACAAAACAGCGGTGGCCGAGGCCGAGGCTTCGTCTGTACGCCTTTCCCACGATCTACACTCCTCGACAGCTCTCCATTTGAGATTCCTGTCAGGAAGGATCTCCTCTCACAGGCAGACGGTACGATATTTCACCCCCGCCCGGAGCTGTGGAAGCTGTGGGTGAGGCCTCTGAGGGGGCACAACTTGTAACTTCCGGTCTCTCAACCGAGGTTGTTGAGACCATCCTCTAATCCAGAGCTCCCTCTACGAAGAAACTGTACACCTTGAAGTGGAAGCTTTTCACTTCTTGGTGCAGAGACCGCCGGCTCAACCCAGTTAACTGCCCAGTTGGTACAGTACTGGAGTTCCTGCAGGCCCGTTTCTCCACAGGGTTGACCCACTCCACCCTGAAGGTCTACGTGGCGGCCATTGCAGCCTACCACGTCCCTCTCGGTTGCCTTTCAGTGGGCAGACACCCCCTGGTTACACATTTCCTCTGTGGTGCGCTGAGGCTGAGGCCTCCGGTATGATCTTGCATCCCCCCGTGGGACCTGGCTGTGGTGCTAGAAGCTTTCTGTAGGCCTCCCTTCGAGCCTATTGAGGAAATCTCCGATTGCCTTCTCAATATAAAGACTACCTTCCTTCTGGCAATATCTTCTCTCAAGAGAGTTGGGGATCTGCAGGCCCTCTCTATGGCCCCTTCTTACCTAGTCTTTGAGCCCAGTCTGGCCAAAGCGATTCTCTACCCTCGAGCGGGTTATGTCCCTTAGGTCACCTCCTCTGCACCACGGCCTGTCGTACTCCAGGCCTTCTGTCCTCCTCACTTCCGGGAGCCCGATCAGCAGAAGCCCTGTGGAGAAGGGCGGACCAACTGTTGGTGTGCTATGGTCCCCCTAATGTCTTCCTGCTAGTAAACAGACCCTCAATCGGGGGATTGTGGATGCCATCTGCATGGCTTACGAGTCCTCTGATCTCCCCTCACCTCTGGGGGTCAAGGCTCATTCGACTAGGAGTGTGGCGGCTTTTGGCAGGTGTTTCTATGCAGGACATCTGCAACGCTGCGGGTTGGTCCACGCGCCTAATGTTCGTCAGGTTCTTTGGCCTAGATATGCGAGCCACTCCTCTCTATTCTGTTCTCTCGCTCTAGCTGTGCTCTTCCACACTAGGCAGGGATTTGTAAGTCTGTCGGCATGGGCATACTCATTCCCATAGCGTTTCGGTGCAGCTCGAGTTCCTGAAGGGGAACGTCTCCTGGTTCCCAGAGGGAACAAGATGCTGAGTCTCAGTGCCATACTTCCGGCATCCTTGCGAGCGCCTGCTTCATTCCTCGAAGCTGACGCCGGTTCCACCGCACATGCTTGTATAGCTTCCTGGTCTTTACGTCACCCGCCCGTGACATCTCACCCATCCATTGGACTGATTACACATGTGATTCAGAGCGTGGTCATGCTGAAGGCATTCCCATAGTGTTTCGACGCAGCGTCTCGTTCCCTCAGGGAACCATGGTTACATGCGTAACCTGGAGACGTTTTCCTCCATAAGAACAGTAACTCAGCAATGTAGTCAGGACACATTACCACAGCATGAAGCAAATCCAGCTTTACGAAGTCCTCAATCTGTGCTAGATCTAAAGAAACGTAAACTTCACAAGGGGCTTCACTATTTTAAAGGGCTTTTATAGTAGAACAATGGCATTTCCTTGCACTTTTGAGACACTTTTCAAAAATATTTACAATGAAATGGCAAGTAAATTAATAATGAATGAATAATGAATGAACACTGTAAATTTTTTTTCCAAAAGTTGCAAACAAAACAGATTACTGGAGTACATTTCACAAGAAAATACTATTGTAGACTTTTTCCTTCAAATTTTCATGTTTATTTCAACATGTTACTTGCCATTTCTTTGTAATTATTTGTAAAATTCACTAGAAATGTCTCTAAAAATAATTTTTTTCAGTGTATTTCTTGTAAAACATTGTTTTATTTAAAACTTTTAATTTTTCTTATTTTTACTGTACATATACTATATTTCTATTGCTAGTCAGTGGCAGGTGGAATTGGGGGAGAGAAAATATTTATTGAAAGATAAGAACAATCAATATTTTAGTTCTACTTTCCTATAAAAAAAGATACTGTACATTTTAAATGCTTATATCTACTAAAAGTACATTTTGTAATTTTTTAAGGTGTACATTAGG